TGTACCTACGCACGTGGTTAACTTATCTCACTATAAACATATACGTCTATTCCACTGTACATATACATCAGGACAGAGTAGATCCAGATAGTTCGTAAATATGTGCATTGGTCTCACGATACTTCGATCCAGCCCGCTGCTATCCACCTACCTGAGAAGGTCACTCTTTATCTACCGGCACGACTGACGGGATACTCGTTAGGAGACAACCGTTCTATACATATATATATATATATATACCTAGATGTGTCTTTCGATCGGCCTCACGACCTATCTATCGATGCCACTATTGATAGATCTGCCGGTCCCACTACCCAATCATCGTCACAACAATCATGACAACCATCGGGACAACCATTGGGACAACCACCGAGACAACCATCGGGACAACCAATGGGACAACCGTCGGGACAACCATCGAGGCGTCCATCGGGACATCCATCGGGACAACCATCAGGGTAACCATCCGGAAAACCATCGGGACAACCATCGGGACAGCTACCGGGACAGCCATGGAGACATCCATCGGGAAACTTATCGGGCCAACCATCAGCAGAAACATCGGCACAATTGTTGGGACGACCGTCGTGACAACCATCCAGACAACCGTCGGGACAACCATCGGGACGACCAACGAGACAATCATCGGGGACAACCACTGGGGCATCCATCGGGACAAACATCAGGGCAACTATCGGGAAAACCATCGAGACAACCATCGGGACAGCTACCGTGACAACCGTCGGAACAACCATCGGGGCAACAATCGAGACAGCCATCAGGACAACCATTGGGGCAATCATTTGATGTGTATATGTATACACCTGTACATGTAGCTATCTGCCTCACGATCAATCAATCGATCTTGCTATGAGCACGCCTGTGGATTCACCATCCAATTATCCATCGGTATGTCTGTCGGTGCAACGATGTATCGGTCTCACGAACTGTGACTCTCACTATCAAGGTGCACGTCGACATCATTATCTTTCTATCAGCTTAACCATCGGTACAGCCATCAGGACAACCATTGGCACCACCATCGAGAGAACCACCAGAACAACCATCGGGACAGCCATCAGGACAACCATCAGGACAACCATCGGGGCAACCATCGGGACAGCCATCAGAACAATCATCGGCACAACCCTCAAGACAACCATCGGGACAGCCATCAGGACAACCATCGGCACAACCCTCGGGGCAACAATTGAGGGAAAATTGCCAGGACAATCATCGGGACAACCATCAGCAGAAACATCGGCACAATTGTTGGGACGACCGTCGTGACAACCATCCAGACAACCGTCGGGACAACCATCGGGACGACCAACGAGACAATCATCGGGGACAACCACTGGGGCATCCATCGGGACAATCATCAGGGCAACTATCGGGAAAACCATCGAGACAACCATCGGGACAACCACCGAGACAACCGTCGGGATAACCATCGAGGCGTCCATCGGGACATCGACATCCATTGGGACAACCATCAAGGCAACCATCGTGAAAACCATCGGGACAATCATCGTGAAAACCATCGTGACAACCATCAGGGCATCCACCGTGACAACCATCGGAACAACCATCGAAGCAACCATCGGGACAACCATCGGGACAACCATCGGGGCAACCATCGGGGCAACCATCGGGACAATTATCGGCACAACCATCGGCACAATCAACTTGACCATCGTCGCAGCCGTCGGGACAGTCAGAATCGTATGAACAACCATCGGGACAACAGTCGGGACATCCTCGGAGCTACCCGGAGCATCGGATCCGACGGGGGGGGCGATTGATTTTTGTGTGACCCAGCCCTAGCGAAGGCAATAGTTCGCGCAGTTCCGCCTCGCCCGCACGCACGTTTCACTCCAGTCTCACACCCCAACATCCGCCACAGGAGAAGGACACCATGCAGCGCATATCATTGTGCCTGAGCGCGCGGGTGCACGCTCTCAAGACCATGAGCGAGAATATCACTGCCAACGAGATGACGTTGCTCCAGCCTGTGGTCGATGCACTATTCACTGGTGCCGAGCCGGAGCAGTTCCCAATTGCCTCTCATAAATATCAGTCTGTCCAGCCTGTCAGGCCCAGTATGGACGGAGAGATAGTGTGCGGGGACGAAGCGTTCTCAGATTGGCAGCAGCACCAAGATGTGCTCAAGAATGTCCACGGCACTGTAGTGGCCATTCGAGTGGACAAGATAGGATTGAAGGATGCCCAGGAGTACATCGACCCGTTCATGACGATCCTCGTAGCGGACGACAAGGCGAACATCTTGGACACCCACGATATTCCAGTGGCGAAGGGTAGGCAGCCCACGTATTGCATTTTCGAGCACCAGATATATCTGAATGTGTCATTCGAGGATATGGATAGTCGCGGCGCGGCCTTGTTCTTCGAGTTCAAGCACTACAAGCCGAAGAAGAAAAAGGTATCCACCAGGTGTTGGGCCTTCATGGAGCTGGCGGAGCTGCGGCCAGACTCGGAGATCGTGCTGGAGTTGTACCAGAAACCTACCGACCTAAAGAAGAAGAAGCTGAAGCTCCACACCGAGAAGCAACTCTATCTGCACCTGCTCGCCACCTTCGTGCGCTCCTGACGGACCTGGCGTGCAGCTGATGCCGCCTTCGTGGCCGCCGCCTCGTCGGCTTCCCCCAGCCTTCCACGCAGCCTGCGACCTGCTGGTCCTGGACCGCTTCAGCGGCCGCCGCCAGCGTGCCCGCGGGGCCCCACCTGGGAAACTCGCTATGCCCGCTGACGCCGGGATGCCGGCCCGCCTGGCACGTTCTGCTTGCTCCCCTCTCCGCCCTTCTTCCCTTTGCCCCCGCCCCCTTCCCCTCCCCTGTCCAGCTTCTCCCATCCTCTGGTTCCAGCTGTCTTTCCCCCACCGCTCTCCCCGGCAGAATCCGCGCTGATCTCCGCCCATGGCCGTCCGTCTCCCGGCGCCCGGCCCCCCTTCGCCCGGGAAGGCGGGGCGGGCACCCCTCTCGCCTCGACGGCGGGCCGCCCTCACAGAGCTTCGGGGGGCTTCCTCTTGCGCGGCGGACCCCCCCCCTGTCCTGGCCCCCCCCCGCCCCGAGTCGTGGTGAGCGTCCTGTCCCCTCCCCTGTCGGGCGGGTGGTGGTGGGGCGGGACGCACAGGGGGGGTGCAGGAGAGGGCCCTGAAGGGGCCCTCCAGGGCTCCTTTTGGGCCCCTGCTGGCTCCGAAACGGCCCCTCCGGGGCCCCCTTCTTCACCCCCCATCGAGGTCACCCTCCAGTACCACCCGCCCGACCCTGGCCCCCTCCTGCTCCCTTGGGTTTTCCCAGGTGCCCCTCCTCGAGGGAGGAAAAAAACCACCCGGACCGGACAATTGGCGTTTACTAAACGGCCCTGGGCGTTTACTGAACAGCCTTGCCCTGTTTGATACCTTCCTTGGGTGCGTTTACTAAACGGCCTCGCGTGTCGGGTTGGTTATTATCGGGGTGCATTTTCTGCCCTCTGCTTCCATCGTCTCCCAACCCGCGTGCTTCGGCAGAGCTCGGCGTCCCGAGCGTCGCGGGGCCATCTTGGAAAGGTCGCACCCCTGCTCCGCCCTCCCCCAGAGACTCGAGGGAGCGAAGAGCAGAGAGAGGATTCGATCTCGACGGGGGAGAAACAAGCTTGGTTTCTGGCACGGGGCAGCGTTGAGGGTGCCAATGTTTCTGGCTGTATTCATGTCGTCAGTGCCCCCATGGCGCTGGAAGAAGGGCACAGCACGGACGGGCTGGCACCTTTTGCAGGCCAGTCTCGCGGGCGGGGGGGGGGGGCGGTTCGCAGCTCCCCGCGGGAAACCGCGGAAGGTAGGGACGGCAGCGGTCATATCCGAACCTTGAGCCCCCTCGCAGACAACGTGGGGGGAGGACATACAGTAGGCACGTCGAGATTGTTGCTATGCGGGTTCCCAGCCCGTCGAGACCACACCAACGGCTGCCACCGGCTGGCCTTCTCTTTTCGAGGGAGCAAGATCAAACACCCAGCTGCTTACGTAGCACCCCGCAATTGCGGATAAGAGTGATGGGGCGGGCGCGGGCGACGCGGGCGTCGAGCCGGCGGACCTCGTGGCCCTCACGAATGCAAAAAAAGCTTGGAACGAATGCGCGGGTGGGTCGCGGGTGGGTCGTGGGTGGGTCGCGGGGTGGGTCGCGGGTGGGTCTCGGGGTGGGTCGCGCGTGGGTCGCCGATGCAAAAGAAATCCGCCGCAGGCGCCGAAGTTTGGGTCGCGGGGAATTCAAAAACAGCTCGCCGCAGGCGCCGAAAATCTTGATTTGTACACTGAACGCGGTTTGGGTCGCGGGTGGGTCGCAGGTTCTCCACCTGGAACGACCTGGAACGAATGCAAAAGAAACCCGCCGCAGGCGCCGAAAATTTTGGATGGGTCGCGGGGTGGGTCGCGGGTGGGTCGCGGGTGGGTCGCGGTGGGTCGCGGGTGGGTCGCGGGTGGGTCGCGGGTGGGTCGCGGGGCGGGTCGCGGGTGGGTCGCGGGTGGGTCGTTGGTGGGTCGCGGGAAGGTCGCCGGGGGGGGTCTCGGGGTGGGTCGCGGGTGGGTCGCGGGTGGGTCGCGGGTGGGTCGCGGGCGGGTCGCGGACGGGTCGCGGGGTGGGTCGCGGGTGGGTCGCGGGTGGGTCGCGGGGTGGGTCGTGGGTGGGTCGCGGGGCGGGTCGCGGGTGGGACCACGACAACGACAAACAACAAACAACAACAACAACAACAACAACAACAACAACAACAACAACAACAAGAACAACAACAACAACAAGAATCCGCATCGTGGAATTCCACTTCAGCCACGCACCCAGGGACAGTGAATGACCGTTCGGTTCAGCCCCCTCTTTCTGACCTAAGCGCTCTTCGGCCCTGACAGGAAAACCAGCAAAAAACATACAGTAGGCACGTCGAACAAGAACCCTGCCTGCAAGGAGGTGCCCCGCGTAAGTGTCTCATTTCCCGATGGCCATGCGGGCTCACAGAAGCCTTCGGGCAATTTGGAACCCTCCAAGATCGGCGAAGACGATGCCGTTCTATAGCAAGATATCTTACCGCATATGTCTACTAGATGCCACTTCGCCGAACTCGTCGCGCTTGCCGTGCATCTCCGCCCACGGCTCGCCTGTTGTGTCCAGCCCTGTGGGCTGGCCTCTCATTCGCCGCAGCAATCCGATGCGATTCCGGCGCGCAGCGAGACATCGCCCTAGTTAAGACTTGCGAGTTTGAGCCTTGCAGCGAGTGAAGGAAAGACACGTTCACTCGTGAATTGTTGTCGCTTCTTATCGTGTCTACTCTTCCTTGCACGTTTTCGCGTCCTGCCGGTGTCTTCTCTCGATTGGCGAATATTGCACATGTTTGGTCTTAAGGCTCACATAAGCCACGTGCTTGACTTCGAGGCTGCACTTGCTCGACGCAATTCGTGCATCATCGTCAGGCTGACGTCAATTTGTGGTGCCAGCCCTCCTGCACATAGATTTGCCACTCATGTGTCCTAAGCAGTGTTTACACTGAAAGGTTCTTGTTACATGTCATCTCACGAACTCTCGGGCGCGTTGGTCTTACTTCCTTTCCGAGCAGTGGTTCGAGGCAGTATTCTGAGCAATGCCAAGCAACGCAAAGCATTACCACGCAACGATTCACAGACAGGGCCTAGCTCGAACAGCGCCTATGCAGGTGGAAGATGTGTGAGATCAGAGGCCTCTGCAGCGAGGGGCTGCTGTATCAACACTGCGGTCTTGTTGGCAGCGATGACCGTGTGCGCTTGCGCCGCTTCGAACACCTCAAAGTCTGCCGTGTTACGCTGCTGATCAGCGGCGCTTGGGGGATCGGGTTGCTCCCTCGCCGTGCGTTTCACAAGAGGCTCCGAAGCCCGTGCGAAAAGCGTGCGGTGCGACGGAAAGGCGGTGCCAGCTTCTTCCAGGGATTCGACAATGGGGCTGGATTCCCAAACGGCCTTGTCTGTGAGCAACATCATGGCACTTCCGCGGAGCGTACGAGAGCAATGCCAATCAGCGATTCCAATCAATGCTGAGCAACGCAAAGCACTGCAAGGCCATTGCCACGCAACGCCAAGCAATGCCAAGGAGTGCCAAACAACGCCAGGCAATGCCAAGCAATGCTAAGAAATGGTTCCAAGCAGCTCAAAGTCATGCCAAGCAATAGTTTGGATCGTATTTCTTTGCTTGACATTGCTCCCGGCTGAGTGAGATTGATTTGAATTACATGAACACTAATTGGGGTCGCGCTGGTTCATGTTTTGCTTGTTCGCCGTGTTGGTCGTTGGTCCATCATGGTTTCAGAAGGGCCTGTCCCGAAGCAGTCCAGAAAGCTCCGACACTGGCTAACAGGCCTGACGGGGCTGGAAGAAACGCACGTGAGACCCTAAGAAAGACCCGAAGAGACGCGAAGAAGCGCCCAGACAGCAGGAAGCAGCAGCACACAGTGGCAAACAGCAGCAACCAGCAATAGGCATCAGCGGGCAGTCTTGTTCCCATCCATTATGTGGTGTTGGGTCCTCGTTTTGAAGAGACAGCGCCCCGCGTTCCTTCCTTTCTCTGTCCTTCCAACCTTCCTTCCTCCTCCTCCTCATCCCTCCTCCCACCCTTGCCTCTGCCCTCCGAATGTCCTCGTCATCGTCACCATCACCATCACAATCATCATCATCAGCAGCAGCATCCTCATCATCACCATCATCATCATCAACATCATCATCAGCAACATCATCATCATCATCATCATCAGCATCATCAGCATCCTCATCATCATCATCATCAGCATCATCATCATCATCATGAGCATCATCATCAGCATCGTCATCGTCATCAGCATCATCGTTATCATCACCATCGTGACCACTATCATCGTCATCATCATCACCGTCACCATCATCATCATCATCATCATCAGCAGCAACATCGTCATCATCATCCTCATCATCACCGTCATCATCAGCATCATCACCAGCATCACCCTCACCATCACCAACAACAACAGCATCATCGCCATCCGCATCACCATCATCACCATCATCAGCGTCATCATCATTCGCATCAGCAGCAGCATCAGCACCAACATCATCATCATCATTATCAGCATCAACATCAGCATCATCAGCATCACCATCATCATCATCAACAGCATCATCATCAGCAGCATCATCAGCGTCAGCATCAGCATCATCATTATCATCCGCGATTCGTGGCCCCATAGGGAGATCCAACTGTGGCCTCAGTAGCGGTGTCCACATGTGCCTCCCTCACCCAGCACGGCGCTTCGTGGCCCCATCGGGAGGTCCACCTAAGGCCCCACTGGCAGTGTCCACATGCGTCTCCCCCACCCAGCACAGCGTCTCGTGGCCCCATAGGGAGCTCCACCGACGGCCCCAGTGGCGGTGTCCACATGCGTCCCCCCCCCACCCAGCAAAGACTTTCGTAGTTCCATATGGAGCTCCACCGAAGGCCCCAGTTGCGGTGTCCACATGCGTCTCCCCCACCCAGCACGGCGCTTCGTGGCCCCACAGGGAGCTCCACCTAAGGCCCCAGTGGCTGCACTCGCATGCGCCCCCCCCCCCTCGCCCAGTATAGCGCTTCGTGGCCCCATATAGAGCTCCACCGGGCGCCCCAATGGACCCGTTCACATGCCACCCAGTATAGCGCTTCGTGGCCCAATGGGGAGGTCCACTGGACGCCTCAATTGCACCGTCCACATGCGTCTCACCCACCGCTTCGTGGCCCCATACGGAGCTCCACCGACGGCCCCAGTGGCGGTGTCCACATGCGTCTCCCCAACACAGCACAGACTTTCGTGGTCCCATAGGGGAGCTCCACCAAAGGCCCCAGTGGAACAGTTCACATGCGTCTCCCCAACCCAGTACAGCGCCTCGTAGCCCCGGACGGAGCTCCACCGAAGGCCCCAATGGACCTGTTCAAACGCGTCTCTCCCACAGGGTGCAACGTTTCGCTGCCCATAGGGAGCTCCACCGAAGGCCCCAATGGCAATGTCCACATGCGTCTCCCCCGCCCAGTTCAGCGTTTCGTGGCCCACAGGGAGCTCCACCGAAGGCGATACCCACAACTGCGGTACTCACAACTGCATATGGTTGGGTCCTTCGCCAAGCTAATGTTTGTTTCAAGTGACAGCGGGCCCCGCCGCAGACAGCAAGGAGGGGGGTGGAGTTAGGGGAGGACGAAACGCGACATGGGCCTCAATCGGACGTCCCCGACAGCGTCGCCAGTCCACTTCGGTCCAGCCAGTGTCCGCCAGTCTGCCAGTCTGCAATACGCAGCAGCAGGCAGCACAAATCAATACTAGGTAGATGAGGGCAGCTGACAGAGGCCAGTGCAGGAATCGGCTCAAGGAGCAGCGCTTCCCGTCGTGCTCGAAGTCGGTTTCTAAAATCGGCCTTCTGGGTTTCAAAAGGCGCTCAGGACTTCCTCAAAGGGCACCAAGAGGGCGCCAAGACGACCCGTGAGCCCACGAGGGCCTCAGAAGGCCTCAACGACGGCTCAGGTGGCCTCCAACACGATCCGAGATGCTCCAAGAGAGGCCCCTGGAGGCGCCAAGAGAGGCTCGGGACAGCTAAAGCAAAGATGGATGTTCAAACTGACATGCACTTAGCGTCTGTTTAATCATGTTAATGTCTCTGCCTGCTCCTTCTTCGCCTTCTCATCCTCCTCCTCCTCCTCCTCCTTCGGCTCCTTTTCTGCCCCATCCTGATCTTTCTCATCCTCCTCGCGTTCGTCGCTCCTTTGCATCATTCAGCCCTGACCTCGGCGCACAGGAGGTGGCCGACTCGTCTTCTTCGCCACTCCGTGGCCTGCGTGGGTCAAGCCGGAGGTTGTCTGCCCGTGCCCCGTTCGTGTCTCCGTCGGCAATCGGCGCGCCTGCCTTTGCGCAGCGGTCGGGGGCAACGTTAGGGGGGGATAGGCTCAGGGGGAACGCATCGAGCCCCGATCGCCCAGTCATCGCCGACAGGGGCCCGATAGCCCATCCCGTCCAGTAACGTGCGGACTCGCTTTCCGGGACCCATCGGCGATGCATTCCCGATTCCGGCTCGATGTCCCCCCTTCTGAGCAGGTCCCCCTCTTTCGTTCCCTGTAAAGCGGCGGCAGCGTCAGGCCCAGACCCCGACGTCATGTTTTTTGTTACAGCGTCAACCCCCAGAGGTCTCGACCCATTCCCCAGGACCCGTTTCTCATTGTTTGACGCTCCCAGGACCCAGCGAGGGACCCGGAGGCCGAAACCAGCCGAAAATGTCCCGTCGCGATGTTTGTCCAGACGCGAGGGGGTCTGGGCCCCAGGTCCGCGCCATGTGGGCGCCGCCCCTGCTGCTGCTGCTGCTGCTGCTGGCGCGGGCCGCGTCTGCGGCGAGCGGCTGGCCGCTGCTGGAGGGCGAGGAGGTCGTCACGGCCATCCCCCCGCCGACGGTCGCGGCGGCCCCGCCCCTGAGGGGCGGGCCTCTGGCAGCAGCGGGTGCCTGGGGGGGAGCATCAAGGGAGGAACAGGCACCGATGCGGCCGCTCGTCCTGGAGCCAGGGCCCAAACAATGACATAATCATAAAATTCGGAGGTCCTCGGATCGGCGCTGGGGCCGCCTGGCGGCGCCTCCGGCGCCCCTGGCGCGCGGAGCGCGCCAGGGAGGAGGGGGGTCCAGCTCCGATTCAAGAAATCCTCGCAGAGCTCCAAAGCTTGTGTTTATGAACCTTGCTCTTCTTCAACTGGAGAAACCTCGCCGCCACGGCTCGATTCTGCTCGAAGCTCTTGCCGGAACGCACCCTGGGGGAGGCCCTGGGAGCAGCGGCATCGGTATCCCTCTGCCCCCCCAGCAGCAGCAGAAAGGCGAGCTTGCCATGCGGGGCGCTCCAGGAAGGGCCTTGCCCTCGAGTGTCGAAGGACATGGCATCTCTTCCTCGGCGGGAGGCGGCAGAAGGCCTGCGGTAGGCGGCGGAAGTGAAGCGAGGGTGCCTCCGCCGGCAGAAGGCGGCGGAAGGCCGGCGGAAGCCCGCGGAAGTAAAATGTGCCTTCCGAAGACATACCACACTGATTGAATACAGGATCCCCGAAACCGCCATACATTTGGCTTGTTCGTGTTCCCAAGGGCGGCATGGATGATTGGACGGGGCGCACCCTTAGCTGAGGTACGTTCGTGTTGCTCCCATCCGTCCTGTGGAGTTGGGTCCTCTTTTCCTTTCCGCTGCGCCTACCACCTCCTCCTTCCTCATCTGCTCCTCCTCTTCTCGTTCGCTCCTTTCGTTTTTTCCTGCTACCCGAAGGTATTGACAACCATGGTCTAGCTCGCTGGTTCCTTGGAGGTACCGCCTGGAGCTGCACTGGAATCAATCGGGCGCTGTCCTTTATTGCTGTGGTTCCAAATATCCCACGACATCGCGGGTTTAGGGTTTAGGGTCTACTAGGCGTGGCCACGAGTACACCGTGACCGCGAACCCACCTGCGGTGGCCGTCAGTCCCACCCGCAAGCCACCCCACCATAAAGATCATCTCTCCCCTCGTTAGAACCAGAGCGAGTAGAGCGTCGACGACGACGACGACGACGGCGACGACGGATGTGCGATCCAGTGGGCACGCGAGTGCTCTAACGAACTAAAGATTCTGCACGCATGCGCAGGAAGCGCGAGTGTGTGCAGGAGCTGGAGCCGGTGTACATAAGGGTGTCGCATTTTGTATTGTAAAATACAGGAGATTCTCCACGCATGCGCAGCAGATTCTGCACGCATGCTCAGCAAATGTTTTTTTGCAGTAGATGGACCAGGATTACATAACCGGGTCGCAACGGGGACCGGGCACTTTGTATTGTAAAATACAAGAGACTCTGCACGCATGCTGAGCAAATGCTATTTTTTGCAGTAGATGGAAGCGGCTCGCAACGGGGCTTTGTATTGTAAACTACAGGAGATTCTGCACGCATGCTCAGCAAGTGCTATTCTTTACCGTAGATGGAGCGGGATTGCATAACGACCGGTTTTAGGTTATTCAGGGTTTAATAATTATAGGATTAGAAATTTAGGGTTTCGGGTGGCCACCTGCGTCGGGCGCCCGCGCGGCCCAAGCTCAAAGGAGGAAAAGGTACCGGTCAAAAGGCCGTGGGTGCCGAACCAAAGTTCTCCAGGGGTAGTTGGTTCTGAAAAGGTTGCCTCCCATTGACCAGCCACATCAGCCATTTGTGTTCTCCAGGTCCGACCATCAAGATCTTGCGCTGGGCAGAGATGCCCAACGCAAACCTTCAACGGTGTTCGGCGAGAAACTGTACAAAACGCCCTGTCACAATCAAGAATAACATCATGCATGCGTCGTTGCCTCCATCTCTGCCTGAGACACTCAGATGGTAAGCTCGGCGGCGAACCCATGGGGGAAGCCAGAGGCAGCGGGGGCCGTCGGCGAATTGATTACAGCCTGCTCCAAAGACAGAGACGGCTTCTCAGGAGGCCGAGGGGCTTCTGAGAAGCCCCGCCGCCTTCTGAGAAGGCCTGCCCCCTCTCACTTTTCCCTTGGGCTCACCGCCGAATCTCCGCCTGGGACATTCAGATGTAAGTGATCCTGTTTAGAGTCTGCCGATAACCCGAGCTATCGAGCCCGCAAGTGTGCAATTACGCTTGGATGCATCAGAGCCAAGATGGTTACAGGTGCGATGTTGCCTCCCCTACTCTATCGGCAACCTTCAGATGCCGAGCAGGATGACAGCGAGCTACTCACTTGATGGCAATCCAAACTCGTGCCACAATCAAGAAGAAGGCAACAGCTATCAAACATCTGCACAGGAAGGAAAGGTGGACTATGATCAAGAGCGCGCTAGAAACACTTGGGAAGATGGCGAATGAGGATTGGAAAATGGTGGCACAACTAAACATTATGCTATAAGCATATGCTGCTGCTGCTGCGTCTTACCCTGCAGACTGAGCCAGGGGCGCCCGCACGAGGTCTCATTAGCCTGCTTCGACAAACATCATCTCATGTGTTTTGTGCCTTGAAAAGAGGCCGAACTACTGCCCCATGGGGGCGCTGGCATGCGGTCTCCCAAGTCCCCTTCGGCACACCCTTCGCACTTCTAGTGTATCGTAAGGAGGCCGCAGCTACAGCCCCAGATGGAACGCCCGCATGTTCACGTCGTGCCCGTCTGGGCACACTCCTCACACGTGGCTCCTACGCTACATGCAGTTGCGAAGGGCCAGGCCTTTCGTTCGGTTGCCCCCCAAGGCGCCCGGACCGAGTCGGAGGCAGAGTGCAGCTGCACCGCCGACGAGGCCGGCGGCTGCGAGTGCGTCGGCGGTTGCAGCGAGGCCGTCAAGGAAGAGGTGTGCACAGAGATCCTCGGGCCTTGCGGGTGCCAGCGCTCGGACGAGGCGGTTTGTGAGTGCGGAGGCCACTGCCACACCAGGCTGGACCGGGAGCAGGCGTGCCTCGACGAGGCAGGGTGCGAGTGGAACGGGCGCTTCTGTGAGGCCCAGACTGGCGTGTTGTGGGACTGATGACGGTGCGTGCAAGGACGGCTCACACACAGGCCTGGGCAGCCCCAGGAAGAGTCGGAGCGGCAACGCTTGGGCAGAGCCGCCGTGAAGCTGCCAGAGACGTCACCCGCCTCGACGCATGGACACATGACAGGCACGCAGGCGGAGAAATCGTAAGGGCTTCGCCGTCTTCCGCGGGTCCCCACTCCTTTGGTTGGTTCGTGAAGCGATGGCCGTCTGCTTGGGGTCGCTTTGGGTTGATGGGTTCGAGAATCGATGGCCGTCTTGTTTGGGACGCGTTGGGAGGGGGCCTTGTTTACATTGGTTTGAGGCTCTGGAACGCAGATCCGATACACGACGGGAAGCGCGAAGCACTAAGGTTGCCAAGTCCCAGACTAGACGGTGTTTCAACGTATGTTAAGATCGACATTTGGGGGTCCAAGAGGCGTTCCGAAACTGCCCAAGAGATTGTAAGATGACCTTAGAGGCGATGCTTACTAGAGGTTCCAACAGAGGAAGACCCCAACAGGCGTCACGAGAGGCCCCAGAGCGAAAGCCACGGTAAAGCACATGCGATTCAATATTTCCCAATTTTCCTGTGTGTTGGGTCCTCGTTTTGAATCCGCAGCACCGCGCGTCTTCTCCTCCTCCTCTTCTCCTCCTCCTCCTCCTCCTCCTCCTCCTCCTCCTCCCTCCTCCTCCCTCCTCCTCCCATCTCCTCCCTCCTCCCTCCTTCCCTGCTCCCCCTCCGCTTCATCCTCTCTTTCTCTGCTCTCCCCCTCTTGCTCCTCTTCCTCCGCTTCCCTCTTCCCCTCGCCCCATGCCGGCACACCCCTCACACGTTTCGTGGCCCCATAGGGAGCTCCACCGAAGGCTTCAGTGGCAGGGTCCGCATGCATATTCGGGTCCACTTCGGCACACCCCTCACACGTTCCGTGGCCCCACAGGGAGCTTCACCGAAGGCCCCACTGGGTGCGTTCGCATGGCGTCTCCCCGCCCATTTCGGCACCCCCCTCACACGTTTCGCAACAGCTCCACTGAGGGTCCCACTTGGTGCATTCGCATGGCGTCGCCCTGCCCATTTCGGCACACCCCTCACACGTTTCGTGCCCCCCAGGGAGCCCCACCGAGGGCCCCAGTGGGTGCGTTCGCACGGCGTCGCCCCGCCCTTTTCGGCACACCCCTCACACGTTTCCTGCCTTCCAGGGAGTTCCACTGAGGGACCCAGTGAGTGCGTTCGCATGGCGTCGCCTCGCCCAATGCGGCACACCCCTCACACGCTTCGTGGCCCCATTAGAGCTCCACCGAGGGCCCCAGTGGGTGCATTCGCATGGCGTCGCCCCGCCCTTTTCGGCCCAACCCTCACATCATGCCCCTCAGGGAGCTCCACCGAGGGCCCCAGTGGGTGAGTTCGCATTTTCAAACAGGATTCGCCGTTTGATGTCAGGCACCCACGGACTTGAGGCATCAACTCGCGTCGACGGTGGTCCTTCGGACCCATTGAACACATCATCATCATCATCATCATCATCATCATCATCATCATCATCATCATCATCATCATCAGCATCAGCATCAGCATCAGCATCAGCATCAGCATCAGCATCAGCATCAGCATCATCATCATCATCATCATCAGCATCATCATCATCATCATTCATCATCATCATCATCATCATCATCATCATCATCATCATCATCATCATCATCATTTGCAGTCGGGCGGCGTTTGGGCGCCGCGAAGCGCATGGCGCTGTCCGTCGCCACTCTCTTATCTGTTCCTCGGCGGCAAGTTACCCGCTTGACGCTTGACCATTTGCAGCAATCCGCGTAGATCCTTCGCAGTGTTCTTGTGCAGTGAGCCGTCCTGGTTATGTTCGCCCCTTATTTTTACAGGGTTGGCTTCTTCGCCAGGCTAGTTTTACAGGTTGTTTGGCGCCTTGAGCGCAGATTGCCATGCGACGGGAAGCGAAAATCTATTCTTGCTGGGATTCGGGGCCTGAGGTGGGCCCACTGCCGATCAGACAGTCCCCAGAAACGCTTAAGAGGGCGCCCAGGGGCCGTAAAGATGGCCCAACTTGGTTCGGGGAGGACGTCAGGACGGACCAAAAACCTTAAAAACGATTCCAGACAGCCCGAAAAGCGACAATATGTCCTTGGAGGTGCGAAGAGAGACCCCAGAGGCGGCAAGAGAAGCTCCAAACAGCCAAATTCGTCAACCTCTTTTGGGGCTCAATATGAATTCGCCAGGCTTTAACATCGTAGTGGTTATGGCAAGTAGATATGCGTGTCGCCTCGAGCAGTGCTTGCTGCAGGGCGCATATTATGTGGTTCGGACGGAATTCGAAACAATGGTTGGGATTTCGGGCTCTTGACCTGGAACCCTATGGCCGGTGCTCTGCGATGCTTCAGTTGCAGCGATGTCACGTTATCGCCCTGGTGCTGTTTAGCTGTAAGGCCCAGTAAGTAGCCCACTCACCTACTCTCAACGTTTGTTCAGTGCGTCGCCCGTGCGCTGGCCCAGGTTTGAGCTTATGTCCCTAGCCCCAGCTTCCCGGAGTGCGCGGGCGACATTTGGCGCGATTTCGGATATCGTTGGCGACTTATTGATTTCCGTCGTCAATGCAACAGCAGCCAGTTTTGCATTCGTGGGGCACTGCAGTTCGACGGTCCACCGACGCGCTATGTTTCCCACCCGCGCGCATAATCATTCGCCAGTGCGTCGTCTTTGGGATCGCCAGCCGTAACCGAGGACGGAAACGCGCCGCGTTGATTTGAGCTTGCGCGCGTCGCGCCACACATGGGGCTACGCCGCCACATCGCCCCGCCGCATCGCGCCCCGCCCTTCCATGTTGGTTCGCGCCCCTTTTCTCTTCCCTCTTCGGACGCATGCGCGCATTGGCCACGCTCGCGAAATTATATGCAGTTCTTTGTGTTCGGCAGCCGTCCTCGCCCCCCTCCATACTCTCCCCCCCCTTTGCCCTTTCACCTTCCTGAAACGTCCCTGTCGCACCCCTCGCTTCCGCCGCCTCCATTCGATTGCCTCACATCGCTCCCGCCGCCGCTGCGCCGCCCCTGCCCGCCACCCCCATCGCCCCTCCGTTCCCTTTTCCTCGACCCTCCCCCCCGCCCCCTTTTCCGTGTTTGTCTCGATGCATCGGCGGGCAAGACGTCGCCAAGTTGTTTTATTGATGAATCATTGCCCAAATGTTGCCGCGCAGAACGCTTCCAGTTGATTCCTCCACGCGCGGTACAATTACACGTCGTCAATTCGTATCTTCGTGTTCGTATATCGTGCGTACGTGCTCACTCCTTTTGTGATTGTCGCGAGCATTATTGAGCGGTTTCGCCTGCGCGTCGTGCAGTTTTCAGGCCGTTCAGAGGCCCACGGCGCCCTGCGATCGATTCGCGCGCGACCTGCGCGCGACGCACAAACATCCCGAGCGACGCCCGCGCGACGCACGCGCGACTCGCGCGCGCGACGCACCTCGATCCGCGCGCGACGCACAGGCGACACCCGCGGCGCACGCATCGCACGCGCAACGCACGCGCCACGGGCGCGACGAACACGCGATGCACGCGCGACGCACTCTCGACCCTGTGCGCTCTAGCTTCATCTTAGGCTGCAATGTGCAACGGCTTTCGGCGCGCCGTGTTTGCTCCGTTTACGAGTGGCGGAAGTCGTGTTTTCATTTACGCAGGGTAATCCGGCAACTCGCCCCTCGTCCTGCATTTTCTCGTTGCTCGTCCTCCCTCGTCCTTCCTCCCCATTCCTGCTTCGTCCTCCCTCCTCCCTTTTTCCCCTCCCTCCTCACCTTTTCCTCCTCCTGTTCCTCCTCCTCCTCTTCTTCCTCCTCCTGCTCTCCTCCTCCTCCTCCTCCTCCTCCTCCTCCTCCTCCTCCTCCTCCTCCTCCTGCTCTCCTCGTCTTCCTCCTCTTCCTCCTCCTCCTCCTCCTCGTCCTCCTCCTCCTCCTCCTCCTCCGCCTCCTCCTCCTCCTCTTCCTCCTCCTCCTCCTCCCGCTCCTCCTCCTGCTCCTGCTCCTCCTCCTCCTCCTTTTCGTTATCCTCCTCCTCCTCCTCCTCCTCCTTCTCCTCCTCCTCCTCCTCCTTATCATCATCATCATCACCATCATCATCATCACCATCATCATCATCATCATCATCATCATCATCAGCAGCATCAGCATCAGCATCATCATCATCAGCATCAGCATCAGCATCAGCATCCTCCTCCTCCTCCTCTTCCGCCTCGTCCTCCTCTTCCTTCTCCTCCTCTTCCCCGTCCTGCCTCACCCCCTTCCCTCCTCCCTCGTCTTTCCTCTTTTCCCCTCGTCATCCCCATCTCTCATATTTTGTTTTCCCCCTCGGCCGTTCCCCCGCAGCCACGGCGCGTCGGTTCGAACGGGACCCCCGCCTTTAGCGACGGGCCCCGCCGCTGTAAGAGGACGAGGAGGACTACAAGGAGGAAGAGAGGGGAGGAGGGGCAGGCGCGCGAGGCAAGCGCGGCAGCAGGGGCGTCCCGGCAAGGGAAGGGGAGGGAAAGGCGGACGAACGGGGCAGCGGGGGCGATTGAAATGGTCGTGTTGGTGATCGTGTTCGTGGTCGTGGTGGTCGCGGTGCTCGTGCTGGCGGTGGTCGTGTTCATGGTGGTGGGCGGGCTGGTGGTGGTCACGTTGGTGATCGTGGTGGTTGCGGTCGTGGTGGTGGTCGTGGAAATCGTGGTGGTCGTGGCGGTGGTCGCAATCGCTGGTAGCGGTCAGTGATCGCAATCGTCGCGGTGGTTTTTGGTTGTGGTCGATGCCGCTGGTGAGGATAGTTGCGGTGGTAGACATTGTTCTGGGAACGGTCGTGGTGGCTGCGGCGGCGGCTGCGGGGACCTGTTCGCCTAGCGTCGGAGTGCGTTCACCTGCATCACAGCGCTGCGGTTTGAGATGGTTTATTACTGTGCCGAGGCCGCCCAGCAGCCGCTCTCTCACCAGAGGTTCCGTTGCGAGGGCGACCTGCTTGCTCCCGAAGGCGAC